CCTACCGTTCTTTATCCCAAACAAAGCAATCTCGAGCCCGTAGCGGCAGCCCCTACGTGCGAGTGCTAGGTGACAATTTATATACCCGCCCACCTATATAACAACTTACTCACTCGATACGTCTTTCTCGCGCGAGGCTGCGGACGCTTTCACGGTTCCGTGCTTCGTCGTTTGTTATCAAAAAATATCCGCTTCGATACGATAATTCGAATCGCCGATAATTCGAATAAATTAAAAAATAGGTACAAAGTTCTTAATGCGACTGGAAGATATGTCGGACGTATGCATAATCCGCAAAAAGATTACGAATCTAGAAATAATACTGCAGAAATAATCGAGCCGATAATCGACAAAAGCATTTTCTTTTATCGATATTTATTATCGATATCGCCTTCGAGCCATAAAAGATCGAGTCTTCTATGGAAAAATTCCTAATCACACATAAATATGAGGAATAATAACGAGTCATTAGAGCGACGTATGGAGTGGATACGTGTACTTAATGCCGCGTTATTGAGAAGAGGGTGAACGTATCCAATAAAGCCGATTTCACGCACAATTCTTCGTATCGGATGCGCGCAACAATAACTGCGACACACGCATATGATCGTCCGTTCTAGTCGTGTCGAAAGCGACGACGATGGAAAATATACACGTACACATAGGCACGGCTGTTATGGGATAAGAGACATAAGTCCGTGGCGTCATATGCTTATAACTGCTCCCTATCAGAATAATATTATTACTCGGCCACCCCACGATTATCCCTGTGACGCGAGGCGTTCACTCCTCTTCCCGTCCCTTTCGCGATATTCTGCAAAATTGTTATGTTACGCGAGAAACGTGTCGAATCGGAGGCTACTTTATCTTGTATCTATGCGAACCTTTCGTCTCTTCGCGCCGTTTCTACGAATTTCGAGGCTTCCGTTGCCCGAAGAGAGAGAGAGAGAGAGAGAGAGAGAGAGAGAGAGAGAGAGAGAGAGAGAGAAAGAGAAAGGAGAAAATATGGAAGTTTCTGCATCGCTCGAAAATCGTCGGTTTATCGTCGGCACTTTACATGTTGACGGGAAGAATTTCGAACCCGGTCGTAAGAAAATATGGAAGTTTCTGCATCGCGCGAAAATCGTCGGTTTATCGTCGGCACTTTACATGTTGACGGGAAGAATTTCGAACCCGGTCGTACAACTCATCGGTTGTAGAACTTACCGCTTAAATATCAATTTGTAAGAGGCGGTTGGCTGATTAGCATTAGCCCGGGAGAGAGGAGAGCAAAGAAGTTTCGGGCACGACAGCGGGAAAGTTCAAAGATGCAAATTGGGGTAATATCGCGGTGCAGGCAAGTGTAGGGGGTTCGTAGTTTCCGTCTCGTTGACACCCGCCCCTTCCATCGCAGCAAGATTCATTAAGTCCTGCTATTAGCGAACTAATCGACATTACGAGAAGAAAGGAACAGGAAATACTTTGCGCTTCTGCGTCAGTTGGTGTGCATCGTACGAGATTCATCGAGTCAATGGAAGAGGAAAAATGGCGTAACTTTAAATTCGTTAAAACGAAGGGTAGAACTCGGTTATTACCAGAGACGTAAGAGTGGAACGATCAAAATGTACGGTCGGAAGAAATTATTAGCTGCGGAGAATCGTAAAAGAAGAAAGGGAGAAAGGACGAGAAGAGAGAAAGAGGTGAACGGTTCGCGCCCAAAAACCGTATTATTCGCCCATTTTGAAACTTTGATATCCCATTCCGAGGTGGTTGGATGAATGAATAATTATCTACCGCTGGTACAAAACGAATCTTTTTCCCAGCCTCGCTGATCCCCTTTCCCCGGAGACACTTTGCGGAGGTGCACCGCACCCCGAATCCGCCTCCAATTTATATAAGCCGTGGCAACCTCAACCCCGGAACTCTTATAATAATTCCACGATTCCCCACCCTTGGAAAGCCGCGCGATGTTCATTTCATTATTTTTTTTCCTTCTCCACCGCCTTTGCTTCCTCTTCTTCGAGCATCGCGAACGTCGTATCCCCCTCGTCGCTTCTCGTCACCACCACCCCGCTCTCTCCGCGGCCTCCTGCCACCCCCGAGAGCCCCTTTGCACACGAGGGACCCACCACCATCCACGCTGAGAGGGTGATAAGTCGTGACGTCGACGAGGTAGAGGTGATTCCGAAGGGTAGGCGTGGCCGTGGCATCCCACCCTCGGCAAGGGGGTGCGAGGGGTCGAATCGAGAGGAAAGGGTGGCTCGTGGTACGTTCTCGTTGGCTGCACTACCCTCCACCACCACGTGGCGCGGGCAACGCCGCTGGTGGACGCGGCTATAGAGGCTGGAAAACCGTGTAAGAAAAAGCCGGAGAACCATCGTCGATGGAACCACCCCTCCTGTTTTCAGGGCCCTTCTCTGCTAGACGATTCTACTTAAGCCCCGAATATGTTCCCGACTCCCTCCTTTCCGTCCACCCACCTTCCTTCGTTCTCTACTCTTTCTCCGCTAGCGTGGCTCGTTTACTTCTTTTCTCCCCGGCTATTGTTATTTTCCTGTGTTTCGATGACCCGTTGGAGAAGGAGTACGTGTGCTAGCTCGTTAGGATATCGCGCCGGTGGCTCGCGTGCCTGTCTTCGACACGGTCGTTCAAGATTTAGCGTAGCCCGCGCTCTGTTCTCCCTGTCTCTCTGTTCGGTGAACGCGGAAACGGACAACGTACATACACGGACGATGTCGGATTCCGGGTACCGGCATGCTCGTTAATTTGATTAACCCTAGCGACATTTCCGCCGGACGAAAGCGACCGTTCGACGATTTCTGCATGGGCCGGTATACATACTATATATAAATTATATATGATAAATTCGCATCAGGACTATGACACGTCTTTTGGTTTCGAGGTTATGACTTTTATTTAAGACGTACAGAGATGCAAAGTACAGGGGAGATGCGAATCAAGAAGACCAACAGACTCGGTCGGTCGACCGAGTTCAATCGTGGACGATCGCCAAGTCGGACTCGCAGCTGATTATTGTTAATACTATTATTATTATTATTATTATTATTATTATTATTATTATTATTATTATTATTATTATTATTATCATTATCATCATCATCATTCGAGGCGGCGTAATCGTTATAATCGGTATATACCGTATATCCGGTGGTTTAATGCCGGAGAAAAGTGGCTGGTCGAGCGTCGCCGGTATAATTATACCTACAAGAAAATCACATTGCGCCAAACGATCTCGTACGACACGTACGTACGCGCGCGCGTACACACGCGCGTCCACGCGTGTGTACACGCGAGTGTGTTGCCGGCAATAGACGCGCCGCGGTACCTAACCACACCGACAAAACGGCGCACGTACACCCACACAGCGTCGATCGTAGTGAGAGATAATAATGTTGATAAGGGTGTAGAGAGAACCGCTCGGCAACCCCTACCTTCGGTTTGCCGGCTAAACCGAACGAATATAAGAGCGAAAAGGACGCGGGAAGAGTGGCTACGCTTGTGTGCGCGCGTATCTAAAAGGGGCGAGAAGAAGGACACAGAGGGTGAGAGCGAGCAAGAGGGAGTAAGAACGGGGTGAAAGAAAGAGGGAAGGAGAGAGAGAAAACAGGCTGTAGTCAGAGGGGTGAGTAGGCGTGGCTATGGACTACCCTCGAAGCAGCCGATTGGACGGACCGTTGGTCCGCTTCGTCAAATAAAATCCAATCGTTAGGACCAAAGGAATGCGAATCTCCTAGCTTTTTTCCACCCTTGCCACTTGGCGAGCCACCCCTGCTCTACCGTTCACCGCGGCCTTCCCACTCCATCCCTGCTTTCTCGGCTCCGTCCCTTCCCGCCTTCGTCTCCCTTCCGTTACCTTTAAAGGGGGTGCGCGCAGCGCCGTTTGATGGGAGTATGATTTTATTACGGCATTACCGAGCGAGCCAAACCCCGAATTGCTCGGCTTATAGTCTGTATTATCTCACCTAAGAGGGAAAGGGGAAGGGCGGGTGCACGCTGGCTTCTCGAAGGGGTGGAACGGTGTCGAGAGGGGGCAAGGGTACAGAGTAACACACTCCTTCCTCCCTCTACCCCGTTCTATGTACACATAAGCCACTGCCTATACGTTAAAGGGGGCTGTTTCGAGAATCCCGGCACACCGGGAGGGGGCAAGAGAGCTAGCTATATGCCTTTGTCGGCTTTCATTCGAGGGTTGCACGCTCTCACGTTGCGCTGCCACACTCCGGGCACCCCTTCTCTCTCTCTATCCCTCTTTCGAGCTGTCTCTGTGCTAGCATGCACGTCAGTTGACATTCCGCTGCCGAAATCGCACGTTCCTCCACGACGTAACACCGCTTTTGTGACAGTTTCGTGCGGCTGCTTCCTTGCGCGCTACGCGAAATGACCCGCGTACCGTTTATGAACGACTTTGTGACTTTAAGTGAGACCATGCAATTCTCCGTGATAGCGTGCATCGATTGAGAAATCGATCGCCGGCGTGCTCCACTCGAAGAAACGTACAAATGGATCGAGGAACGGTACAGTAAAGTTCGTTCCATCTCTCCTGGCTCGTTCTCACAGAAACTTGACGAAGATGCGTGTAATGTAGATCTCGAGACATCGCTAGTATCGATATCGTTTGCCACTGCTTGAAGAGACGAGTAGAACACGGAGATCTTGCTTGCTGATTCTTGTCGGCGTCTTCTGTTTCCTAGCATTCGAACGAGAAGTAATCAGTGTAAAACGGTACCCGAGGTCCTTGCTAAACAGATAGCCGTTCGGTAATTGTTATTTTCCATGTATCATACGTGCGATATGTATAGACGTCATGTCGAGTGAGAAGAGGAGAACAGATGGAAAGATCGGATGAACGGTATTTGTGCTCTAAACGACTCAAATACCTTTAACACGTGCTCTGACTAGCGAGTATCGCGAGAGGAACGATAGAGTCCCGTGATCGAGGTAGAGAGGAAGAAATCGGTGGGAGCCACAGTGACGGGGTGCGAAAGCCAAGGGGCCGTGATATGTTCCCTTCGTCAGCGGCGATGCTGAAAAATCTGCAACAAAGTGCAATGACCTCGCCCTTTTTGATGGAGAACTTGCTCCAGAGCAAGGCGTCGCCCGGTGCCGATCTAACCAGTTTGACCTTGAACTGGGCGGCTAGTCTGGTAGCGAGGCAACGGGAACGGGAATGCGAGGCAAACTTGAGGATCTCCAGAGAGAAGGTGTCGCCGTCGAGCGCGAATCAAGATCAGCTGGATCAACGATCGTCGGTCGGTACACGTGGTACGGATCGAGGGAATCCGATGATCGACTGCAGAGACGAGCAAAGAGGATCGTCCGGGAGGATCGACCGACAGAACGATCGTATGCACATTCTGCAGGAGAAGGATGGCATGGAGAGGAGTCAGATCACGTACGTAGACGTTGACAACGAGAGAATCGACGGACACGTAATCGTAGATCGTCTCTGCGCGATGGAGAGGCTTTGTAACGAGAGGATCGAGAACCGATCGGGTTCGGCGGTGGATTCGTGCAACTCGAACGTCGACGAGGATCCGACCGGTATCGAGATGGACGGAGGACTTCAAGGCGAGAGGGAAAAGGACGAGGGAATTCTGAGCGGCGAACGCGTGACGGCATTACAGCCGGATGGCCAGTACGACCTTGGATGCAGAAACGTCATGCACACGTTCAATGAGATGACGATTCAAGGGGAGAGAGAGGTGGCGGTCAAGCGTGTCGTCGACAGGATAGGTGAGAGAACGACCTGCGGCGACGAGCAGTGCTTAGGACCCGCATGCAGGACCATCCAGAAGGAGAAGCCGCAGCTCAAGTTCAGCGTCAACGCTATACTCGGCGGCAATCATGACAGGCGACCGCATTCGGGTAATTGTTCTAACATGAGGTCTCGCGCGCGTTTATCGTTCGTGGTCAGTTCTACCTAGGTTTAAGGGGTAGTTTTAGTAATTCGCGATCGTTAGATGCGGTTCGAAAGTAGACAGCTTGGTCGGAGACGGCAAGGCTTTCCGACGAAATAATTTTCAATCGAATAGTGGACTATCGTTCAAAAGGGAATAAATTGTACGCAAGTAACTTTAAATCTTCGTTGCTCGATGATAATCTTTACGCGAGGTGGAGCGAACTAGCTGGTTACGATACTCTCGTTTCTAATTATGTTTCGCAGAGTCATCGGTCACAGCGATTAAGCTGAGTAGATAGGTTTCGGATTGACGAGCGTGTCAAAAGAATCTTATTCGTCCCCCGGCATTTAGAGTGTTGAAACAAAGCTCACCACAAATCAGTGTCGCTGGCAGACTTCTGTCGTCGGTCCCTAAATCTCATCCGCACACCCTCAAGACGAGTCGCAGCGTGCGTGCAGGGTGGAGCAGGACGTCAGCTGGTCCGCCACTTACCTTCACCCCAATATTAAGCCCTTACGATTGGTGCCTATAATATTAGACAAGCAGCAGTATCCAATGATGTATTACCTCGCCTCTTATCGCGTTTCCTTATTCACAGTAATTCCGTGAACGCCATCGCGAAATTGACCGGCCTATTATCGAACGACTCGATTTATAGCTTGACCGGGGTGTCATAATCGTTCCGTTTAAACGTCGCTATATCACCCGCTCATCTTTTCGCTTACCTCGCTAGCTTCGTCGACGATTACACTTCCGATTTTCGTTGCTTCTTATCCCGAAACCGTTCCTCCCTTCCGGGCGAAGAAAAGGGAAGACAAGGGTACCGGGAGAGGAAAACGAGAAAAATACATCACGTATCCGAACCACTTCGGTGTACATCAACCATACGATCTCTTGCATCCCCATCGTTCTTTTTTCCCTCCCACTGCTCCCTCCTCCCTTCCCTACCACTAACGAGTGATTGACACGAGTCGATAAAGTTCATGCACATACGATAAATACATAAACGGCGCGGAGCTCGGGAACGGGATAGAAACAGGTAGGGAATCGAAAAGAGAGAACGAGACGGACACAAAAGAGAGAAGCGAGAGACGGTTCATCAGAAGGGGGGACGGGAGGAAGGTAGATAGGTGGAGAGGCAAATGTTGCATTTAACATTGGCGGATTGTATGCATGCGCCGGTAGAAGAGGAGAACGCAACGTTGGCGAGATAGAGAAGAGTAGCCGGGGAAATTTGGTGCGCTCGAAATACGGGGTGGGGTTTCATGCATTTGTCGGATAGCGGATGCATTGACCGTGCCACGTGCATGTGTTACATCCCTTCCTTCCCTCCCACTCCCACCCCCTGCGACCCCCTGCCGACCCCCTTGCCTCTCTTGCGTGAATCCATCGCCTCCGATAGACCCTCCAGCATCCATGAGCTGTCCCTCTCCCCCGAAACCCCTCTTGATGCAACTCATCCCAACAGCCACCCTCTTCTCCCCTCTTCCCAACCCCTTCCGCCCCCTCTTCTGGTCCCAGTCCCCCCTACCCCCCGTAACCGGTGGTACTATCGTTCGGTCCGCTTGGTTTGTACGTCATGTCGAAATGTTGTGAAATAATTGCGCGAAAAAGTGATTGGCAACAAACTCGAAATTCATCGACGGACGCGAACGAATGCCGTGGCAACGTGGAGTTAGGGTGGTTGGGGGTAGCGGCGGGGCTCGCACGGTCTGGAGTGGATGGGCGTTTGACGGGAGAGCGACGTTAAATTTCGAATAGCATTTTCGCCAATCGTTGTGCGATTTACCAGGTCCTCGCACTCTTTCGCTCTCTTCTCGTTTTTCTCTCTTTCGGCGCTGCAACGCGCCGTAGTCCCGTCTCTCTTCGGGGTGCCACGCTTTCATTCGTCCCCCTGCTCTTCTCCACCACCTCCACCTCTTCCACCACCACCCCCGCCCTCCTCCATCGCCGCCTGTTTCTCGTTGTTGTTTGTCGCTATTATTGATATTTTTCGATATCGAGCGTGACACGACGGGGGGGACTCGTGTAGATGGATGGCGAAATGCGTGTACCTCGTAACGTTTTATTATTTTCCTTCCTTTTCATTTCCTTTTTCCCCGGCTCTCTGAAAATAACGCGTCGACGTTGCGAGAGGAATAGCTGTTAGGGGCCTTTGGATGGACGCGAGTCGCGTGCTTTTCAAATACCGCGAACAGCTTTCGACGCTCTCGATTCGGGAATCACGGCAGCGTTAACTGTTAATTTACCTTTCCGCCCGACCAATGGTCTGTGACTGTCATCGCGTGGAAAAACGCGGTTTAAATTCCCTCCACCTAGGCCACTGTCTGGAATCCATCGTGTCTTGAACTCTCGATCGAGTTAGCACGTCAGACGTAATAAGCCGTCATGGCACGTCAGCTCGCTAACCATGCGCTAAGGCAAACATCGTCCCTCTATTACCACGAACCACGAAACACGTCGTTTCCTGCCGTGCATAAATCGCCGAACTCCCCATTCACGGGGAAACCTGCAGCGGTGTCTACTTAATAATGCATCAAATGCCCTAATCCCAAAGAATAACCACCGATATGTTGTAGCTCGGTTGCGCGGTGGTTCGAGTCCGGGGTTAGAACGAAGGGAGGGTCCTTAAGCCAGGGCATTAAAAAGAATAGAGGGAAAAAAAAGAGCACAGCTCTACAACTGTAACAACAGTGCGCGAGCTGTTCTGGATATCCTCGACAGGCTTTGGAGATTTAATCTTCTCGATTCGAATCATCGCGGAGCAACGGAGACGGGATTGAATGGGACGGAGATAGTATTCGCGAAGGGAGTAGTTCGAAGGAGGTGGAGCAGCTTAAAAAACGATTCCCATTCAATGTTTCCGTTGGAGGTTAAGCCGTTATTAGTTGGCCAGGGCTTGCGATCCTGGCAGGCAGCTCCTCTTATTGGCTGGCTAGGAAAACAACGATAAAAGGCGATGAGTATTTTATGGGGTACACCGGCACAATAGGACGTCGTGTATGGGCCATTGTTAAAGCATTGTCTGGCTGGAACGCAAGGCAAACCTCTCTTTCTCCGTTCGATTCTGGCTTCTTGGTCGTCGTGAAACGTACGCGGGGACCGTGGCTCCATTATTTTATTATTTTCAAACACGTCGCCTTCTCTTCTCCTCTTCCCCCTTGTTTTCTTTTTTCCTTTTTTACTCCGTCAAATTGGGCGTGGCGATGACTGAAAAAAAAATATGTTACAAACACATTGGACCACCGACCCTCTTAGGCATACGTATAGATGATTCGAGTACACCTTTTCCGGGGTACGTTGCGGTTTATCGACTACTTGTTTATTTTTAATAGTGGGTCACGGTTCATACGGTAGACGAATTTTCCAGTAGCGTATTTTTCTCTAAAAGATAGAAATAGTCTCCAAAGATTACGTATCGCGATTGTCTATGGTTTGAAATATATACAAACCCTTCTCGCGTACCAAATATACGAGTATTTATACCGGAGGTGTTGAAGCGTGCGTCAACAAGAGGTTGGGCTTCGCCTGGAGCTGTTGAGGAGGGTTTAGTCGGGGGTGTCAGCTCGAATTATGCATCGCAAGGAGTACAACGACTCGAGCATTCTGTCGTGCGAAGGTCCGGGACCTTGGGCGTTTCAATGGGAATTCGACCATAAAAATCACGTTCTTATTAGCCTCGCGTTCAGTCAAACGTCTCAAATTGAACCGGTCTATCCGATCTGTCTATGCAAAATTTGTTCAAATTCGTACTCGTTCGAAAGAACATGCAAGCTTGCCAATGTTCGCTCGATGTTTTTCGCGCAACGAGTTCTTTATTCACCCATAAAATATTTCATACTTGTGCAGAGGATTTCCAACGACTGTCACCGGAAGCGATACCGGCGTTTCTGCAGAATTTACAAAATTCTGCGAATTACAACATAGCGAAACCGATCGCCAGACCGGCAGCTTATCATCCGTATCACAGGCCCAGTCATCAGCCGCCACAGCGTCATTTACCCCCAAATGCGCACCACACGTTGCAACAATTATTCTACAGAGGACCATACTTGACAGGTAAACGCTCTTGTCTTTTCCAATTCGCCGAAACGAATCTCGAAGAACGATCTCAAATTTTTACTACCATCCTTCGCGTCGTCGGGATTGTTCTCATAATTAATCCATCGCGGATATTCGTGAAAAATGGGGTAAAACGGACGGGGAGAACGCGGTGATACATCGTCGGTGAAAAAGTTCGCCGTTATTATATTTATTCTCGGGAAAAAGTTAATAAACAAGCTGGACGCGGGGCGGAAACATAATCTCGATGAACATTTAAAACCGAAACTTCCGCACATGGCGCCAAAGCGTATAAACGCGGGCACGTGCACGGGCACGGGTTTATCGAATATCTTGTTATAGGTAGGCTCGTATGGGACATGGAGTGCATATGAAGTGCAGTGAAAGCACTACCATATTATGTACATGCACCGCCACAAGCAAAATGCACGCATGCAACAAGTGCGTGCAAATATCATCGGCGCAGATAATACTGTCATGCTCAGCTTGGCAATATTGTACAGATACGATCTGGAGATTCAATTGCCCGTTCGTTATTAGATGACTTTGATTCAATTACTATCGAGGCCTGGCCTTTGATGTACGAGCAATAAATTTTCGCTATCGACATTTTTCCGAATGCTGATAGAGTGGTTTCCGCGCCAGCGGAAAAAGAAGCACGCGTCTATCTCGATACCAATCGGCACGTGTCTCCAAGTCGAATCTCCCAATTTTTCTACTCCGATTTTTTCGTGGCGGTAAAAATACACGGAAAACCGGTATAAAATATTCCGTGAAATATTATTTCGAGATTATCCAGCGGTGGTGTTTTATCGTCGGATGGAATCGCAGATGTAACGATTATACAAAATTTCAAGCGTGAACTCTGATTCCACATCGGATTGCAATTTAGTTACATAGTCTTATCGTTTAAATATCGTTCGAATATGTCGCGTTACCGGTTCATAGGATGATTTCATTGACCCTCGCAAAGCGGTCTTCCTCGATGTAAAAACATGCTTAATCGATAGTTGCCGGTTCCGGAACTGGAGGTCATCATCCCGGTGCCCCAGGTGGCGGGACAGCGTTTCCAGGTGCGATTCAAGGTGGGCTGGGCGATTTCACGAGCACTGGCCTGGTATTTCCATGGGCGACGAACGCTCGTGGAAAGCCACGTCGAGGAATGATGAGAAGGGCGGTTTTCTCGGACCTTCAAAGACGTGGCCTCGAGAAGAGGTTTCAGATACAGAAGTACATCAGCAAGCCGGACCGCAAGAAGCTGGCTGAGAAGCTCGGTCTGAAGGATTCCCAGGTAAGAAAGTATAGCGTTAACATCGTCGATACCGCGAATTAAAAGTATGTGACCATTTTTGAACGGTCGATCGAAATACCGAGAGAACCAGGCTCGTTAATAAGTCAGAACGCTGATCACGAACGACTTGGTGAGTAATAATGATTATACGAGATAATGGCATCAATTCTGCCATATTCAGGTAAACTTGCGTGTATTATGATGTGCATAGGCTTGTCATGATCAAGCGGTTGCCTTCGCAGCCACATGAATGGGTAACGCGATGCTTAATGCCGCGTTTAATGATCTTAATAGCGAACTAGTTTGCTAATCTAACTATCCAAGCGAATATTTCTTTGCTAGTCGATCTCACGACGAACAATCATAATCGACTCCTAAAGAGCTAATTTATTCGTAAAATTCGTATTTAATCGGCGAAATTGATATAACGATTTTCGAGTTGAAGCTCTATAAAATGTCTAGCTTTTTCTTTTTAACGAAGACAATTTGTAAATCGCGATACATATTCGCCGATGTCCTCGATGTCGTTAGGTCGGCATTTAATTAACGTGGCGAACTATGTCACTAGATTCTCGCTAATAGCCAAACGCATAATCAAGAAATTAATCCGTACGGAGAAGGAAGGAAGGAACGTTGCCGCAGAATATATGGTGCTTAATGACCTTATTAGGGCACTAATTGTCGCTTTAACGAAGTACGAAACCCTCTGTTCCCAACGGAGCATTTAATTCAGCAACGGAGCTGCACCCTCCCACCCTTCGCTCCATTCACCGAATTGATAGAGACTAATGCTCTGGTTTCGTCGAACGAACTCTCACGTGCCGACTACATCCACCTATAGCCGTTATGTGAACCTATAAACTTTACCATGTACACCCATAAACTTACAGAAATTCGACTACCGTGGAAACATAGAATTGAATGAATGAAAAATTGAAACGCGCGCCAACTTAACGAATTATTCGAACTCTTCACATTAACATTTCGATCTCACCCGTTATTTCCCATTAAACCTATTTCACACTTTTCCGAGTCATTAGCGGCAAAGTAATTAGAAAGCGATTCCAACAATCGTGCGGCGTTTATAGCGTCACCCTAATACAAGCATCGAAACAGCGATTCCTTCTTTTATGAACCCTATCGCCACTCTTATTGCTACCATAACACTGTTTAACACGAATTTTAATCGGAAATATCCATTGTAGCATGCATGTGAAGACCCTAAAATGCACCCTTAAAGAACATTTTAATATAATTTTGGAAATAAATTTCCTTGTTAATTAATTAATTAATAGTAATTACAGCGCGGAATGTTTGAATTATTGTCGAAGATAGTAATACTTTGTAATTAATTGCTATTTTTTGTACGATTAATTTATCAATTATATGAACGCATTAGATGAACAATATCATTGGGTATGTTCACGTATAATTTTTGTTCATATTTTACTTCTAATTTTACTCTTAATTAAATATTTTAACGAAAAATCATGCCAGTTATTATTACGAAATGCGGACCGCCATAAAATAAATATTAATAACAAACTAATCAGCCATCGAATTATGTACGACAATTGTATAGGAATGTTGCATACAGCTCCAGTTTTGTGATACAGTTATAAAAATTTATAAATCAATCACAGGAATAAAGTAATTTGATCATTTTTCATTGCTCGAATTAATTTATTCAAATGTATCAGGAGCACATAACCAGAGTTAGTAACCGATTTAAATAAAATCAGCGCCATCTATGTTTCTTTGCTGGAAGTTTGTGCTCCGGCTCCCTTAACGCCATTTATGATTTTTGGCTGGAAGCTTTTATTCCGATCAGCGCCATCTATGATTTTGGACCAAACGCTTCGAAAAGTAATAGGAACATAGAATGAGCAAGAAGGTCGTCTAAACCTCGTGACAAGGACAGATGTGCTGACATTTGGAAAATTAACAAATTACTCTATTTCTATGATTAATTTATGAACTTTTATAACTGCATCGCAAAGCTGAATCTTTGGGCAACATTCCAATGCAACTTTTACTCATAATTTGATGCTATTTAATTTGTTATTATTAATTACTTGACGGCGTCCGGCATTCTACAACAATGATCAGCACGATTGTCCGTGAAAATAATTAATTATGAACAAAACTAGAAGTAAAATATGAACAAAAATAATATGAAAATATACCCAAGGATATTGTTTTTATAATGTGTGCATGTAATTTATAAATTAATTGCACAGAAAATTATAATTAATGAAAAACCAATAATATTACCGACATCAGTTCGAACACTGCGGGGAATAATTATTCGTAATTAATTAATTAGGAAGAAATTGATATTGAAAGTTATATTAGAAAGTTCGTAAAGAACGCGGCTTTGCAATGCAATTATAAAAGTCCATAAATTAATCTTAGAAATTGAGTAATTCATTAATTTTCTAATGCCGAATGAAAATTTAAGAAACAGCAGTTAGCGCCACCTATGGTTTTACACTGGAACCTTGTGTTCCAGTTAAAACTTATGGATGACGCCACCAGAACATAAGTTTCCAATGTAAAATTATAGGTGGCGCCAATTGCTGTTTCTTAAATTTTCATTCGGCATTAGAAAATTAATGAATTACTCAATTTCTGAGATTAATTTATGGACTTTTGTAATTGCATTGCAAAGCCGTATCCTTTACGAACTTTCTAATATAACTTTCGATATTAATTTCTTCCTAATTAATTAATTACGAATAATTATTCCCCGGAGTATTCGAACTGATGTCAGTAATATTATAGATTTTTCATTAATTATAATTTTCTGTGCAATTAATTTATAAATTACTTGCACATAATATAAAAACAATATCCTTGAGTATATACTCATATTATTTTTGTTCGTATTTTACTTCTAGTTTTGTTCATAATTAATTATTTTGACGGACAATCGTGCCAACCATTGTTGTAAAATGCTGGAGACGCCGTCAAGTAATTAATAATAACAAATTAAATAGCACCAAATTATGAGCAAAAGTTGCATAAGAATGTTGCCCAAACATCCAGCTTTGCGATGCAGTTATAAAAGTTCATAAATTAATCGTAGAAATCGAGTAATTTGTTAATTTTCCTCGGGCCAGCACCTCTGTCCTTTTCTAATCACTTGCTGTCTTTGTCACGAGGTTTAAATGATCTCCTTGCTCATTCTATATTCCTATTACTTTTTGAAGCGTTGGGTCCAAAATTATAGATGGCTCTGATCGAAGATCTAAGTAACTTGAATCGGATTGGTTCGTTCAAATTGGTTACTAACTCTGGTTATATGCTCATGATAAATTCGAATAAATTAATTCGGGCAATGAAAAATGATCAAATTACTTTATTTCTGTGATTAATTTATAAACTTTCATAATTGTAGTACAATTGCATATTGAGTTTATTAACAAGATTCTTATTATATATCATATTTTGCTGCATATTTCAGACAATATTTCTTTTTTAATCCTTTGCTACTTTTATAATAGCGTAAAAAGATATACAATATATCCTTTAGATATACAAAAGATATACAAAGCAATTATACGTAAACAGTATTTACTATTAATTTTAACAGTTCATTTTCAGTAATAATAGCTTTATTAATAATTAATGTAGTATTGATTGTTTAGGATTTGGACGGTATAAAAATCGCAAAAGCTGGTTAACCCAATGAATAAATAACATCTTTGTAAATTCAAGAATATTGTTTATTTTGTTCTCTGTAAAGAATGCATTATACTTCTTTTTTTCGTAGACTCTTTCATAGCTATGACACTGTCGAGGCTAGAACAGCGAGCTATGACTGCGTGGCGGTAAAACACTGTGTACACGTTAGCAACAAATACTTTTTTGATCTAATCGTATTGAAAACTGTTTCGGCAATTTTATTCCACGATGTTCTCTTCAGAAAAGCCTACAAAATACGACACGGTGTAGGAAATTCGTGACAGATAAAGAACTTTCTATAAAAATGCAAGAATACTGTTTGACGACTTATTTTAAAATTTTGGTGACCAATTATAATTATACACATTGGACAGCGTAATTAAGCATTCTTGTTCCAACAAAGGATCGAGCTATCAGTTTTACATACATTCCTTGTAAATCAATTTTTCTTTCTTATTTCTAAGCGATTACTCAACGCCAAGTTAACGCGGGATTCGTCAAAACGAAACGAATAACGAAAGTCGCGAAGAAGCAAAAGACCAAGTACATTGGTGTACGATTTATTTTGATAGAAGTGGCAGAAGAAGTAGAAACAAAGCGATCAGCGACTTACGCGGTTCTCCACTATCCGAACCTAATCTGAAAACAGCGAAGTTTAAAGTTCCATGAGACGATCATGGACGGAGGTGATCACGCGAGGTATCATCGCGTCGCGTCGTCGGTGTACATAGGAGAAAGAGCCGTGGCGTAGGTGCACATGGTGCTAGAAGCATATAATACCCCCGGTTTGGGGTTAATCGGGCGATGCCAGTTCATTAGCTGCACACGTATACCTACACGTTGGATCGTGTGCAGCACACCGACGCCGCGTCGCCGTCGCTAGCAGGCTGGGTCCGCTGTGGCGACGCTAATGAAACTAAACGATGCCCAGAAAATGGCACTGTAAGTTAGTTTCATTTGATTTCATGAGTGTAGTTTGCCGATCCACTCGAATACCCGGGGATGCGTGCGGCGATGTTTTCGCTAATTTTGTTTCCTAACCGCCATCTTCAATTCTGTCGACGTAGAATCCGCTTCCCGGCGCCATGATATTATTTCCACGATCGTCGCTTCATCGTGGAAAGTTTATTACAAACGGGGCAGCTCCGGTTGCCGATTCTCCGCTTTGTAAATGCAACTTGTTCCTGTACATTTGACGTTGCTCGTCGTACCGAAGCTGTTTGTTCCCTCTGAACGGAAATTTGACTTTCGTCGCGCTACGGAGTTCATTGACCTATTTGCGCTTCAGTGCAATTTAAGTTAACCCTGGTGAA